AATCTATATATTAGTCAATTGTCAAGCATATTGATCAGTCTATAGTCAAGACTATACTTTAGTCTGTAGTCAAGATTACAGTTTGGTCTATATATATAGATTATTATATATTCCAGACAATAGATCATTCTGTAGTCGAGACTATATATCAGTCTATGATCAAGACTATAGATCAGGCTAATGTCAAGACTATAGCATTCTATAGTCCAGACAATAGATTATGCATTAATAAAGACTAAATAGAGATAAGACTATAGATCTGCATAAGGTCAAGACTATATATCAGTTTATGATCAAGACTATAGATCAGTCTATAGTCAAAACTATAGATCAGTTTATATTCAAGACTATACATCAGACTATAGACCAGTCATTAGTCAAGACTGTAGATCAGTCTATAGTCAAGACCATAGATCAGTCTATAGTCAATACTATAGATCAGTCTATAGTCAAGACTATAGATCAGTCTATAGTCAAGACTATAGATCAGTCTATAGTCAAGACTATAGATCAGTCTATAGTCAAGACTATAGATCTGTCTATTGCCAAGACTATTGATCAGTCTATAGTCAAGACTATAGATCAGTCTATAGTTAAAACTATAGATCTGTCTATAGTCAAGACTACAGATCAGTCTATAGATCAATCTACTGTCAAGACTGTAGATCAGTCTATAGTCAAGACTATAGATCAATCTTTAGTCAAGACTATAGATCAGTCTATAGCCAAGACCTTAGATCAGTCTATAGTCAAGACCATATATCAGTCTATAGTCAAGATCAGTCTATAGTCAAGACTATAGATCAATCTTTAGTCGAGACTATAGATCAGTCTATAGTCGAGACCATAGATCAGTCTATAGTCAAGATTAAATATCAGTCTTTAGTCAAGTCTGTAGATCAATCTTTAGTCAAGACTATAGATCAATCTTTAGTCGAGACTATAGATCAGTCTATAGTCGAGACCTTAAATCAGTCTGTAGTCAAGACTATAGACCAGCTTATATCCAAGATTATAAATCAGCCCATAGTAAATGATACAGATCAGTCTATAGACAAGACTATAGGTCAGTTTATAGAGAAGACTACAGATCTGTCCATAGACAAGACTGTAGGTCATTAATAGATCAATTTTTAGTCAAGACTATAGTTTAGTCTATAGTCAGATCAGACTTAGTTAGATCAGTTTTTAGTCAATCTGTCTGCATTTCTTTAAATTATAACAAAATTATTTAAAATTTTGCAAATTCATTTTATTTTCTTTATTGGAATTTCCCCTTCTTTTCAGCCAACATTTAGGCATATAATGAGTCATTTAACTTTTATTATTTCATATCTTTCATTTGAATTTAAATGTTGTGTTTGTTAACTAATGCTGTGTTTTGTTAACAAATGAGTTTAGTGTTTTATTATTATTTTTTTTTTGGCACTCCCTAAAGACTAATTTAATTTAATTTTTTTAATGTACATAGATATGTTATTTCTTTATTTTATTTTTACTTATATTTTAAAATTTTATTAAACAAAATTTAACAGTGTAAAGGTACTTTAGATGATGTCACAGTTAAAACGTATAATTTATATTATTTTTTTTTTATCTTAAATAAACTTTTGATAATGAAATATTTGTTATTTTCGAGCAACGTGCAATTTTTATCAATATTTTGTATATTGACAAAACGTTTAAAAAATTATCAAAAAATATTTACTTAGAATGCTATTTTGAAAAGCTATAAATAAAACGAGAATTTATAGAATTTAGACATATTTGAAATGTTAAATGAATCTAATAATGAAATCATTTATTTATAGGGGGATATTTTTTGTTACTAGAACAATTTTTATTTTTTTTTTTTTAAATTTGTATAAATTTATATGAACAGATATCTCTCTATATCATTTAAAATTAACGGCTTTTAATAAATTATCAAGTAAATGCCCTTTGTAACCACCAGCCCACATAAAGAATTTTATTAAAAAAAAACTTTTTAATTGAAATTGATCTTTCTGTTTTTAATAGCCTTTACAGCACCAATAAAGAGTTGTTAAATTTTTTTCTTCTTCTTCTTCTTTTTCCACAATTCCCATATAATTTTATTTATTTATTTTTCTTCTCTATCACATTAACTTTTTAACTAGACAACGTATAAGGACAGTTTTTGTAACTCAAACTATGAAATACATTAAAGCATCGTTCCACAGAAATGTCTAGTCTCCGATACCGGTCTTGCTTTTGTCTACAACAAGGGGCATCTGTAATATAACTTACATACCACATCCATATGTATCTACAATACAAAAAACAAACAGGATTGTGGGTTTAACAACATTCTTTTGTTGCAATATTTTTTTTTTGTTTTATTCTACTCTATACAAATAAATTTATTAAATAAATAAATTGAATTTAACAAAAAAGGGAACAATATAAAAGTTTTTTTAAATAAAAAAACTTTTTTTTAATAGATCATTGAACTGCAAGTCAATTTTTGTTTTGTTTTATCACCAATTTTCATCATTATTATTATCATTACGAAAAAAAAAGATACAAATGTATCTGGATGTGTATTAAAAATATATATTTGTGTAGTTTTTTTTTTTTTTTATTAGAGAATAACGGGTATTATATGGAAAAAAAGGCTCGCTCTTTGTGCGTAAAATAACAATAACAACAAAAGAGATCTTACTTATACACTGTCACAAAACTGTAAAAATATTTCTTAATGAGTCGTTGTGCATTCATTGTATTATAATTGGTGGTTAAAATCAGAGGTTCTTAAACTTTTTTAAAATTCTAATAACGGAAATGATAGATTAGAGAGCAGTCTGTAGGCAAAAACTACAGATGAACCTGTAGTCAAGACTATAAATCAGTCTGTAGTCAAGACTACAGATCAGTTTGCAGTCAAGACTACAGATCAGTCTATTGTCAAGACTATATATCAGTCTATAGTCAAGACTATAGAACAGTCTATAATCAAGACTATAGATCAGTCTATAGTCAAGACTATAGATCAGTATTTAGTCAACACTATAGATCAGTCTATAGTCAACACTATAGATCAGTCTATAGTCAAGACTATAGATCAGTCTATAGTCAAGACTATTGATCAGTCTGCAGTTAAAAATACAGATCAGTTTATGGTCAAGACTATAGATCAGTCTATAGTCAAGTCTGTAGTTAAGTCAAAATATAGTTGACGGTCTGTAATTTAGACTATAGACCAGTCTATAGTCAAGACTGTAGATCAGTCTGTAGCCAAGACTACAGATCAGTCTGTAATAAAGACTACAGATCAGTCTGTAGCCAAAACTACAGATCAGTTTGTAGCCAAAACTACAGATCAGTCTATACCCAAAACTACAGATCAGTATGTACCTAAAACTACATATCAGTCTGTAGTCAAGACTACGGATCAATAGTTCCGTCTATAACTAAGACCATAGATCAATCTAGTCAGAACTACAGATAAGTCTATAGTCAAGACTACAGATCAGCCTTTAGCAAAAAAATACAGATCAGTCTTTAGTCAAAATTACTGATTAATCTGTAGTCAAGACTACAAATCAATCTGTAGCTAAGACTAAAGATCAGTTTAGTCAAAATTTCAAATCAATCTCAATCAATTCAAGTCAAAACTATAGAACAGTTTACAGTCAATTTCTAGTTAAAACTACAGATCAATCTGTAGTTAAGACAACAGATCAGTCTATAATCAAAAATATAAACAAAACTATATTCTGTAGTCAAGATTACAGATCAGTTTGTAGGCAAGATTATAGATCAGTCTATAGTCAAGACTACCGATCAGTCTATACTCAAGTAGTCAAAACTATAGATCAGTCGATGTTCAAGACTGCATATCAGGCTATTGTCAACACTACAGATCAGTCTGAAGTCAAGATTAAACATTAGTCTAAAGTCAAAACAGGCAAATGACAAGACTAGAGATCAGTCAGTAGTCAAGAGATCAGTCTGTAAGACTCTAGATTAGTTTGTAGTCAAAACGATAAATAAGTATGAAGTCAAGAATAGAGATCTGTCAAGACTAGATATTAGTCTGTAGTCAAGACTATAGATCAGTCTGTAGTCAAGACTACAGATCAGTCTGTAAGCAAGACTACAAATCAGTCTATAATCACTACAGATCAGACTACAGATCACTATATGCTCAAGACTATAGATCGTTCTCTAGTTCTCAAGTTGTAAAGATTGACTTTCAATTGGTTTCAAAACTATTAAAAACAAAAGTTTATAATTTAAGAGATGCGATCCTTAAGTGAAAATCCCGTTAACCCCGATAAATGACAATATTTATATAAAATCTTTTATCTTAAATCTTGAGTAATCAAAATTTTCATAAAATTTCTTTTCAAAATCAATCACTAACTAAAATTAATTTCTTATAAAACTTAGAACCGACATTGGTTTTAGCTTTCAGTTAAAAAAGTACCTATACCCGATTGTTAATCGACGTCATTGGTTTTAGCTTCCTCTATAAAACTTTCTCTATAAATCGGTATTTTTTATTAAAATTTCAAATCATTCCATTATGAAATTGAATAAATTTCTAGTTAGGAATGTTTAAATTTATTTTAAAAGAAAAAAACACTTTTGCAGTAAATTAAAAATATAAACACATTAATAAAATAACAGTAAAAAACCGGCTAAGACTATAAAAATGCGTTATATTCTTAAAGCAAGATCAAGATCACTAGAATGATCAACACTACAAATGATAACAGCAGCAGCATCATCGTTTGGGAAACCCCTGCGCTTTAGGAGCAGATGAGAAGAATAATAATAATGAACATGATGCCGATGATGCTGTCACTGCTGATTGTTAATATTGTTATTTCTGAATTATTTTAATGCACTTTTTTATTCTTCATTAGACTTGAGAGTTTTTAATTGAAGACAATTAAGGGGCTTAATGTTTAAATTTAACTTTTTTTTGAGTTTATTAACAAAAATTATTAAATATTTTTAAAAATTATGCTTACTTTTTTTGTAGTTGTTTGATAGTGTAACTTTTAAGTGGTTTAAAGATAATATTATGTTTATTATTTTACTAAAATTTTGTTAAATTATTTTTCAATATTTTTTTTCTTTTGTGGCAACTGTTTTGTTTGTTTGCTTTAAACAATTTTTTATTAAATTCGTTAATAAAACTTCTTTTATTTTCAAAAAACACTTTGCACTTTTAAGTTCTTTTTATTAGTTTTTTTTCTTTATATTTTAATAAAATTTTAATATTTTTTTTAAAAAAAATTTTGCGTTTTCTGGTTCAAAAATGTTCGTTCGATTTTATTTATTTTCAATATTCAAAAAATTCTTAATTAAAATTTAAAAGTTTCTGTTTAAAACCCGCGTTATTATTTAAAAAAAAAAAGAAAAATTTAGTTTGTTATTCTATCAAGAGGCGGAGCTGTTAACAACCTCTTGCTAAGGCGAGCAAATTTCAACTGATTTTTCGAATTCACAATTTGTTAAAACAACAACCTCAACGTAATCATCAACATCATCATCTGGTTGCTATTTAGTATATTTTTTTTGTTATTTCTGTTGTTGTGTGTTATTATCGTTTATTTATCGTTTCTTCCCAACATTCATTGACTAATATCGAACTATACTACTAAACTGATCGCTCACCAGCGATCGCTTTGCTTTAAAGCTTTGCCAAAATGCACAACGACAAAAAAAGCTTTTGTTTTGTTTGAGCAATTGCAGAGAACAAAGCAAATAATTGATAGCTTTTTTTCTTTCTTATTTGTCATTAACAGTGCCGGAGGGTGTGCGAGAGAGTGGATGAGTGAATGAGTGATCGTGAGAGTTTCATTTGTTTAGCATTTTTTTATGTGATCTCTTTGGTTAAAAATGATTGAAATACATATCATTTGTTTATAATTCCCAATAAAGTTACCAACCAATTCAATGAATCATTTTATTATTCCCATTAACCTTATGAATATTTTCCTGTGATTTTTTAAAAATTTAAATTTTTTAAGAAAATTTCTCTAATTTTACAAGTTTGGCATATTAATTATCTTCCAATAAGTTTTAAAAATGTATTCCTTGAAGATTAAATTATATGCTTTCTTATGTATCTTATAAAAGTTGTTCAATTGGGGATTTTTCAGGGAATTCCCGACTATTCGCGAATGAGTATTTTCAGAATTATATTAGCTTTGTACTATGTACATCGAAAAGCAGAAATTATTGAAATTATTTTTCCTATTCATAGCACTATTTACTAAAAAGTCTTTATATTTTCTTTAAGAAGAATTCAACTGGTATAGGACTAGTCCAGTGACTGGTTCTTTGTAGTAAATCCTTGGTACTAACTCTTTACATGAAGTGAATCTATAACTTTAACATGACTAGGTGTTAGGAATAGATAAATTGACAGACTTCTGAGCAAAACTAAACTGTTTCGTTTCATGATTGCGTGAGCGGGAACTTATCGGTTAAACGAATCATTATTAGTTATTGGATTAACAACAATATTTTACAATCATTCCCTAGAGGGTTAATTGACACCTTTTAAGCATTTTGCTACAGATTCCTATCTAATTTGTTATTGAATACATTTAAAACAGTTTAATACTCTTTAACATGTCCCAGATATAATCTAAAGGAACATGTTATACATATTCTAGAGACAAAGAAACTGATAAGGACTAATGGCTGTGGCTGATACTTTCAGATCTAACATCATTTGTAAAGACTATAGGTATCTGAGTTTCATGAAACCCCTAAAAAGTTAAACTTAAGTCCCCCCCGGGGCATGTGTATTGCAATCCCGGGGTATCCGGGATTCACGTAGTGGCTGTGGTTTATACCCAAATTCGCGGGGAGAGAATGTTGGTTTAAGGACTGATATATTCAAATGCCAAATATGTCTGGATTCTCTCTCTCAACAGATGTCACTGGGTTATGTGACAGAGCAACTTATGAACCCGTTGAGCAACTCTTACTCTTCGCGTAGTAGAGCTCCAGTATATGTTGGGAAATTTTTTAGGTTGACACTTGGTAGATGCCTGCCATTACGTAGATCGTTCTTTATGGTCTGAGAATGAAACTGATGTAATTGGTGAACGATCGGGAAAGACTCCTCTGCCCTACAGGAGACTAATACTGATTTACTTCAGGGAAGTTATAAGTTCCAAGTGGCAGTGTTATAAAGTTCCACGGATGCCATTGTCTGAAAGCCTAGGTGTTTAAAGAGTGATTTTAATATAAACAGTAAAACTAAGATCAGTTGTATGTACTACTCAAATTCAGGAGGTAATTTAACCCATTTCTGTGGTCTTTTGACAGATTTATGATATTGTCTGATTTAAACATTATGTCCCCTATTACAGAGTTCCAATTTTTGGTGTTATTATCGAGGGTCTTTAACTAATCGGTTCAGAGTCTCTTTGATTTCAAGATGTCTATGCAAATCTGGTAATAATAGTAAAAATTGTACTTCGAAGTGTCATAAAGATTTGACTCTAGTCCTCAGATCAACCAACCTGTTTTGCAATATGAAAAACAAAACAAATCTTTTGAGAATTTCAGTCCATTGCAGCAAGGATACCAAAGGTAAATAATTAACTCAAGAACCCTTCATTCTATCATCATGGCAAATATAGTATTAAAAGCGACAAAATAATGAAATTTGTGGAACTACATTCAAAAGTTTAACAAATTATTGACTTATTAATGAACTTAAGCCCTCTTAGGTGGATTAGTTCCGATGCTTAATCTCAGCCTCATATTAATATAGATATTGTGAAAACAATTTCATAACAATCTCGGTCCATTAACGTTTCAAAGACAATTTGATCTTCGTTCCGGAGAGACCCGAATTATACACGTCCAAAGATTATCAACTCAGCTACAGCTGTACGAAACGAAAGTATTCTTCCAAGGAAAGAACAGCTATATTTTTCTTCATGGATCTCTTCAGATATATTTATACAATATCGCGGACGTCACACATATTTTGATTTCCTTATAAAATATTTTAGAACTGATGGGCTTTGATCTTGCAACTCTATAATGACTTATTTGTGAATAAATTGTGTGGTCCGACATTCTTAAGCCCTTTAAAGTAAATATATAAGATCCCAGATCCAATCCAATATTATAAATGGATCATAATTGACCCCTAGGAATATTTTCTGAAAATTACTTTATAGTATAAAGTTTATTCACATCTCTGAGTGTGGTAGTCGGGACTGCTTTTTATATAAAAATGTTATAAACTGTAAAAACCAAGTCCCCTCAAATTGATAACAAATTATTTTTCTTTATATTGGCAACCCTTTCGATCATGTTTATTTGATCGTTAACTCTCACTGTCATCAATCAAATACTCTTGGCCTGTTGTACAGAAGCTTATTTGCGCTAATGAGCAGAACCTGTTAAATTGGCTAAAATTGAAAATACAAATAAACAAAAGATACGTGCGAGTAGTATCTACAATATAAATAAATGTGTTTAACTAAAACGTCTATCTTTAAGATACTATTAGACAATTAAACAAAAACAAAGTAAATAAACGCAAACAGAAAACAAGATCTTGTTTAGCTTTTAACTTATAAACCAAAAAAATGTTGAATGAAAAAGAAATGAGCAGCCGCAGCAGCAGCACAAACAACAACAACAGCTAGTTGTAGTAAATCGATGAATAATCAAAGATTTCTTGGAATTTAAAAACTTCGTCATGACAGCAACAACAAAAAATTCACACAATACCAGACACTTTTAAGAAAAAAAAAGACTCAGATACATATGTTTAAATATTGCTTGGTGGGGGGTTGGGGTAGAAGTTTAATATAAAAAACTCAGGTGGCAAGTTGCACTGTAACTGTGTGCAATTTTTCCATATGTTTATACGAGGGTGTGTACGTAATTAAGCGGTAGCTTTTGTTTCAATTTATTTGTTTATTTTATTTATTTTTTCTATATTGATATTTCTTTGTCATCATTCCCGGTTACAATGAATTGTTTTAAATATTGAATTTTTATTTCTTGGTTTTCATCTTAATATAAAGTGTAATGGAAAAAATCTTTTTTCAAGTCATGCTTTAATGACTGGTCTGCTTGAGGGAATGGAGAATTCCCAATTAAGATTTTTATTTAGGCCGTTATAACTGCCGTTGTTGTGATTAAAGTATGAGAATTGTTTTTAGTTTTGCATATAAGAAATGAAAGAAATTTTATGTGTCAACATAAAATTTTTCTGAATGAATTTGTTTTCGATTTTATTTGTTGTTATTTTGTTGTTCTTGTTGCTGGAGAATTTCCTAGTATTTCCGGACCAATTTGTTTTTTTTTTATCTCTTTAAATTTTTTTTGGTGTAAAGTATAATTTTGTTTCTACTAGATTGTTTGTGTGCTATTTTCTGTTATTTTGGCATGATTAATATTGAATATATTTTCATTTAAATAAATATTTGGGGTATTACACGCCAAAAACAGGGTTCTGAAATAAGAGGTGTTTAAGATCAAAAAAGCTAACTAACTAACTAACTAACTAACTAACTAACTAACTAACTAACTAACTAACTAACTAACTAACTAACTAACTAACTAACTAACTAACTAACTAACTAACTAACTAACTAACTAACTAACTAACTAACTAACTAACTAACTAACTAACTAACTAACTAACTAACTAACTAACTAACTAACTAACTAACTAACTAACTAACTAACTAACTAACTAACTAACTAACTAACTAACTAACTAACTAACTAACTAACTAACTAACTAACTAACTAACTAACTAACTAACTAACTAACTAACTAACTAACTAACTAACTAACTAACTAACTAACTAACTAACTAACTAACTAACTAACTAACTAACTAACTAACTAACTAACTAACTAACTAGGTTAGGTTAGGTTAGGTTAGGTTGATAGGAGGATGTATACTACATCAAATCCGAAGAAATACACCTAGGCCACTATCGGGCCTGTTGTGCGCTCCAATTCAAGAAAAAAAAAAAAAAAAAAAAAAAAAAAAAAAAAAAAAAAAAAAAATTGTTTACTGAATGTTCAGAAACTCAGTTTCCTGGACGTAATTCCTAAGAATCTTCCAATCGGTGTTGGTTAAGAATGTTATTTCTGGAATAACATCACTTCCAAGATACTTGGATCTAACTTCGACGAATGCCTGACAATGGCAAAGAAAGTGCTCCAGAGTTTCACTGTCCTCTCCACATGCTCTACATTCGTCTGAATTCGCACGTCCAATTTTGTATAGATGTGCTCGTAATCCTGTGTGTCCACTGAGAATACGTACCATCATACTAACCTCAGACTTGCTCATTTTGAGAAGATTTCTCGTCTTGCTCTCATCAGGGTCACCCCATAGAATCTTTGTGGTTCTACCCACCGTTTCATTATTCCAAGAGGCCTTATGGGATTCTCTCATCCATATTTTTAATTCAGCTTTTGTTGCGTCGAATGGTTTTGCGTTTGTCAGGTTAACTACATCGAGCTCCCTTCCCTTTAAAGCTATTACATTCGCCCTTTCGTTGCCGATTACTCCCGAGTGGCCTGGTACCCATATGATGTGAACCTTACCTCTGGGAGAGTATTCAGTTAAAGCTTTCTTACAATCCAATACGGTCTTA